TTTGGACCCTAAGTGTCCAGCTCAGCAAACCTCCCCTCAGGCTCAGCGCCGGGGAGTAATTCACTCACTTTGGATCCTAAGTGTCCAGCTCAGCAAATCTTCCCTCATGTTCAGCGCCGGGGAGTAATTCACTCGCTTCGGACCCTAAGTGTCCAGCTCAGTAAATCTCCCCTCAGCTCAGCAAATCTCCCCTCAGGCTCAGCGCAGGGGAGTAGTTCACTCGCTTCAGACCCTAAGTGTCCAGCTCGGCGAACCTTCCCTCAGGCTCAGCTCCGGGGAGTAGTTCATTCGCTTCGGACCCTAAGTGTCCAGCTCAGCAAACCTCCCCTCAAGCTCAGCGCTGGGGAGTAGTTCATTCGCTTCGGACCTTAAGTGTCTAGCTCGGCAAACCTCCCCTCAAGCTCAGCGCCGAGGAGTAATTCATTCGCTTCGGACCCTAAGTGTCCGGTTCAGCAAAACTTACTCTTACGACCAATACCGAGGTCTTGTGAAGGTCATACTCACTGACTCTAAGTTCGGTAATATGAGCCACGAGATTGTCCCACATCGAAAAAATACAAGAAGAAACAAGTATAAACATACTTACTTCACACAAATCCATTTTAAGAAGGGTTCCCTTGACGGTTAAATCACCAAAGGAAAAAAAAAAATAATCCTCTGTTATTAGGTAAACCGTCAGAGGAGATCCCTTCTTCACATCTTATTTAGTTTTGCTTCGGACTAAAACAAATGTGTAACCCTCAGGCAAGGTACTTTCCTTAAAATTATCACATCCAACAAAGTGTGTGCAATATTAAAAGCATTCAAGTATACTCAGTCGAAGCAAAATTAAGGCGTCACAGCTTAAGAAACATGATTATATCATTCATAACTATCATTCCAAATATTGTTTCATTACAAAAAGAACAATATTACTTGATCCTACTTCCTCTTCGGATCAAATGGAGTATATTCAAAAGCATCCACCATAGTTGGACTTGCAGGTGGAATATTTGATGGGCTAGGAGCAGCTGCAGGAGTTAAGACACTTAGAGCTGGAGGGACTGCAAGATGAGCCTTCACCATCTCAGCAAAGAACACTTCAGCTTCCTAAGCCTTCGGACCTTCATCATAAGGGAAAGACACCCCCATATGAGTATTAAAAGCCTCAGGATCTGTTATTTTCTCGCCTGAACCTTGGTTAAAGCCGGACCTGTAGGCCTTGGCGCTAGACAAACGCACTAAACTGGAGTAACGCCCCTGCATCCCTACAATGATGCAGGTGCTAAGGGCATCATTCAAACGCTGGACCTCAGCCTCCAGCGACACCACTTTTGCATCAAAAGTAGCCAGACGCTTCTTATAAACATCCTTAGCTTCATATGCAATTTAAGCATTTACAATGGCATGGGATGCCTTCTTCCCAGAATTGTTGAGGTCTTTCTCCAACTTCTGAATGGATAGAGACTGAGCCACAGCGGTGGCACAAAGGGCCATGGTGTGATACAGGCCCTACATTGTCAGATAGAAACAATAACGATATAAGAAAATTGGTGAGATGATTATGACGATGGAAGAAGAGGGGAGGAGCAAACCTCTATGGCTCGAACGGGGGCAGAAGGGAGTAGCTGTTCCAATCCCATCCTACCAATAATCTCTTTATCCTTGGGGAGCCATATTCTCTGAGCAATAGCCAGCACTACAGATGGATCAGTGATCATAGAATCACCAGTATGGAGGACGGACTTGTCAGCCTTCGAGAAAGAAGGAGTCCAAGGTGCTCCAGCCTCAGCAAGGACGTAAGCTCTGACCTCCTCTTCAAGATTAGTCTTTTCAGCCTTCTTTCCTTTATTTTTTGTGTTGGAAGCGCCTTTGGATTTTGTAGTTAAAGAAGAAGTCAACCTCGCCTTCTTGTTCAGAGGAATTTCGTTAATCTCTTTCTCCTGTTCGTTTGAGCATAATATAGTTAATGGGGCACTCTCTGTAGCCTTTCTCTTCAAGGCTTCAGCCCTTTGTTTTTCTTCCTCAATCATGGGGAAGCTGTCGAAAGATGGAAGTGAGAGGTCCATGAGATCAGCAGCTACGGCTCTGGAAGCAACTACTTTAAGGTTTGCAGAGGTAAACAAGTCCTCAACAGAAGGAGGGTCTTTCCAAACTTGCTCTTCAAGGAAGGAAAGCCTCTTCTTGGCAGCAGAGGAAGGGAATGTCAATGAAAAAACACCAAGAAACTCATAAATATACCGAAAGAATAAGACTCGACATGGGAAATAACCAGAACAATCTTCATGAAGAGAGGGGGGACGTTCTATACCTAACTTCCCGAACTTATGTGGGATTGGGAGTTTGCTCGATTGAGGCATGGCCCATCTCCCTTTAACAATTATCATCTTCTCTTTCCACTTTTTTTTAAAAGTAGGGAGGTCTGTACATATCCTTTGATGCAAGGGAGAGGTGAAATAGAAGCGACCAGGTTCGATTCCATGCTTAGAAATAGTGTAAGTGATCAGCAAGTCAGCCAGAGTCAGGTCAAGACTCTCCAGCCATCGGTGAATGAGGAGTGCCGAGATTACTTAAAGGAAGTTAGGGTTTACTTGTAGGGGTGCAATCCCCAATTTGTTAAAGACTAAATGATAAAAAGGGATGAAGGGGGAATCTAAAAGCGTTGAGATGCCCAACAGAGAGGAGCAACTCGTCTTCTCCGACGCCCTCGTCGGCATAAAAATCGGCGCCCTTGGGTATTCTACAATTTTTACCCCATTGGGAATCTCGAAATCTTCCATTACGGATTCAATCGAAAACTTGATACGACGAACAGATAAAATTGCGTTCCTTTCTTCCTTAGTAAAAATACTGTCCAACCCAGAGGTAGATGTCTCAGCCTGGATTGGGGAAACATCCGACTGATTAACCGAGTCATAATGCAAGATTGGAAGAAGGGAAAGAAGAACTAACCTGGAGATATGAAAATGTGAAGAACGCAATGGATGGAACGAGCACACTGAGAACAAAAGCAAGTCTTGAAGAAATCCTTGAGTCAGAATAACAATAGACACAAATGGAAATGCCTCGTTCGAAAGTGGCAACTACACAACTTCAATTCCCCCTTAATTAGGAACCGTAACCCATTTAAAGAGGAATTAGGGGCAAAGTGTGAAGGGAAAAATCTCCCTCCAATAAGAATTGAACACGTCATCACTATATAAATCTATATTTGGTAGATTTCAGAAGCCTATCCGGATCAAGCCCAAAGTACATTATTCTTTAACCCAATATCATTTGTATTGGACCTCCAAGGCCAGGTAAAAACATTAATCAGCCCAAGGTCACTACTGTTGAAGTTCTGGCCCATTGGTCAAGTCATTTAAACCGAGTTGCATCCGGCCCAAGTATAATGAAATATTATCCAGTCCTATTAAGCAAAGGATTCAACACAGATGTAAAGTTCTATGCAAAACAAGTTCTACATAGGAAATATTATACAATAGAAAAAACTCTATTTGTAAAGAAAGTCATGTATGGGAAGAATTAGAGGACAAGCAACACGAGTCCTACCTTAATTCTACCAATTTTTGTGTATAAATAGAGGCTCAGACCTCCAACAAAAGGATCCAAGCAATTCTATACTTCTCTATACATTGTTCTTGTTTATTTTTACTATTTTTGAGTGTGTTGTATTATTTTTCTTAATCGTTATTGGTTGAGCAGGATTTTGCACCTACAGCACCGTATGCGGGAATTCGTGTACAAATATATTCCTACTCTTATTTCAAGTGAATTATGCTACTACTATCTGGATTGTTGAATGGAGGATCTTCAGCGGATCAACAGACGAAGTTGATGCAGAAGATGCGTGAAGAGTTTTTACACCAGTTTGACGTACTTCGTCAAGCGAATGAAGCTAGCGTGGCTCAGATCACCTTGCTTCAACAGCAGAATAACACTCTGCAAACGGCGATGGCTCAGTTGGCACCACTGCCACCACCAAGTGATACGGCAGCACCCCCTAATCAGAATATTCCCCCAGTTAACCGGCCTTAACCTAATAGGGCACGACCCAATGAGGCTCAGCCAAACAAGGTTTAACAGCAGCAGAAGACAAGGACCGAGGCAGTTGCTTCGGACAACTTCCCTCGTCGCACGCAGGACGAGCAAGCCAAGTTTAGTCGTAAGCTTATGGTATGGTCCAATGGTATTCTAGATGGTGCTGGTGTTCAGGATGCCTTTAATGAGAAAAGACTGCTGAAGATTCAGACACCCGCTGAGATGGCCAGAGAGCACAAAAACTCCCTGGTGAAGACTCCTTTCACTGACGATGTGTATATAGTAGAGAGGCCCAAGAAATTTACCATGCCTTCTTTTACTCAGTTTGACGGTACGGGAGATCCTTCTCGGCACCTGGATCATTACACCCAAAAGATGGCTTTAGATGACCGTAATGATCCTTGGATGTGTAGAGTTTTTCCTACCAGTTTGACAGGAGCTGCACTAGAGTGGTTCAGGAATAGGCCACACAAGTCCATCCCGGATTACGTAACTCTGTGCACCATATTCCTAGCACAATACTGTGGAAATAAGAATCAAAAGAAAAGTATTGCCAGCCTCTTCACCGTAAGGCAAAAGAAAGGGGAAACACTGCAGGATTTCTTATCTAGATTCAACATGGAAGCCTTGAAAATAGCAGATTATCATCCCACGACTGCTATAGAAACATTCAAACTTGCAATGATTCAGGGGATGAAGTTTCATACTTCCTTGGTCAAATATTCTCCTCCCAACATGCAAACTCTCAAGGCCAAGGCCTAGATCTACATTCGGCTTGAGAAAATGTAGCCCACCGAGCGCAGCACGCCACCCTCGTGACAGTGGAAAACAAGCCTAGGGAGAGAATTCCAAATTCAAAAATCCAGAAAAGCCAGCGTGCCTCAACGACGATCACCCAGGCACCTGAGAAGAGGCAAAGGAGAGAGAAATGGTTTATACCTCTCCGAACTACCTTGGCTCGGCTCTTCTAAGAGAATAAGATGAGGTTTATAGCCCCGCATCCTATGAAGCAACCCTTGGAGCAGAGGGACAAAAGCAAGCATTGCGCCTATCATCGAGATTATGGGCATTCAACCAATGATTGCAGATCCCTTAGGCGAAAAGTGGAAAATATGATAGCTAGAGGTGAGTTGGCGGATTATCTCACGACAAAGGAGTATGTGAAGCCCCGCGAGGTCTATCCTTGGAAGGTAGAAGGTAATCAAGTAAAGGTCATTCATGCAATACATGGTAGATCTGAAGATGATCAAAAGTCTGAGGAGGTATACAAATCCAAATTGAGGGCAGCCCATAAGCTCAGGAAGTTATCCTCGGTCAATGCTATCGCTTCGGCCAGCATCGGTATTGGATTCGGTGATGGCGACCTATTCAACTCCCCCATGAGGATCCATTGGTCATCAGTCTCTTAGTGGCGAATTGCATAATCAAGAGGGTTTTGATAGACCCAGGGAGTAGTGCCAACATCATCACAAAGGCAGTCTTTGAGCAGTTAAAGATCCCGTCATCATCAATTCGACCTACCTCCAGCCCATTGATGGGGTTCAATGGCACAAGGGTAGATCCCCTTGGGGTAATAGACTTATCCGTAACCGCGGCGAAGAGGACTTTGAAAGAGAACTTGGTCTTAACAGAGATCCACCATTCCTATAATCTTATCATGGGAAGAGGCTGGATACACCGAATGAAAGAAGTTTCGTCCACCCTTCATCAGGTGATGCGGTGCTTATCTCCGGACGACAAAGAGGTTATTAATCTATAGGGCGATCAAATCGCTGTGAAAGAATGATATATGCTCACACAGGTTGAAGCAAAGAAGATGTCTAAATAGCCACAACCAGGCGTGGCTCCCAGAAATATATCCAAATAGCAACTACAGAACCCTCTGCCCAAGTATCTTAAGGTAGAGGAGGAAGAAGAAGCTACGAAGCCTACCGAGGAGATCCTCGGAGCCATAGAAGTTATCCTCGGTGACCCCCGAAAGGTCACTTATTTAGGCTTTTCTTCCACATCCAAAGAAAAGGAAGCATTAATTGATGTCATTCGAAGCAATACAGATGCTTTTGCATGGGATCATTCGGACATGGTAGGGATCGATCCTTTAGTCTCCTGCCATAGCCTGACGGTGGATCCAGAGTTCCGTGGCGAAAAGGACTCTGAAGGAAAACTTTGTCTTAACAAAGATCCACCCTTCCTATAATCTCATCATGGGAAGAGGCTGGATACACCGAATGAAAGGAGTTCCGTCCACCCTTCATCAGGTGATGCGGTGCTTATCTCCGGACGAAAAAGAGGTTATTAATCTATGGGACGATCAAGTCGCTGTAAAAGAATGCTATATGCTGACACAGGCTGAAGCAAAGAAGATGTCTAAACAGTCACAACCAGGTGTGGCTCCCAGAAATATACCCAAATGTAATATCCCTAATTTTAAAAGAATAGTCTCGGCATATTATTTATTATTTTTATTGTATTTTTGGGTGATTATTTGGTTTAATTATTTTTATTTATTATTTGATTTAATTGTTTAACTATGTCACATGTGTTATCTTTTATTATTTAATTGAAATATATATATATATATATATATATATATATATATATGTGTGTGTGTGTGTGTGTGTGTGTGTGTGTGTGTTTTTATGTGAAATATTTGAGTCATATATGCTTTTCCACTGTTTTGGGCCAATGGTTAATGCTCCATACTTTAATGTCAAAGAAAATGACTCCTATATATGTGGGCTTCAATGGCCTTTGTTACAATTCTAATGGTTTTTAACAAAGGTCATAACGTGTTATTGGGCTATGTAGTGAAGTAAAATAGTTGGCAAAGACCAAACCCATAATATCATATGTGCACTAAGAATCACTAATAAATCCAATTCTTACAGTAATTTTACACAATGGTGCATATTATTTGTCGATGATAATAAGGCGAATCAATTTAAAGATTAGTAATTAAAATAAAATATATGAAATTTAATGATAATGAAGATTATAGTAATATATAAAAAATAACAATTTGAGATCAAAATAATTCTGAAAATAACTATTTGTTGTATTTGGAATTCGTAATACAAAAATGAATGAAAAAGATGAGTAGATTGATATATACTTATTAAAAAAAAAAATTGAGTAGATTGATATATGTTTGGTAAAGTAGAGATAAGTTAGCAAAACGAAAAATGAAGGTTCCATTTAATAAACCATGAAAAACTTAATCCAAGTGGTATAACTTTTTATGTTGGAGATTCAAAATGATTGTACTTGTTCTTACGGATCTTGTCCTTTTTGCCAGCAAAAAAAAAAAAAAAAATTGATTTTTAAATATTTAAGATGATAAACGTAATTAAAATGATTTGGTAACAGAATGGTGAATCGATCACTCTCAATTCGAGTGTTCAGTTCCCTATTCAAGAATGGGGAATCGATCACTCTCCATTCTGAGTTCCCCACTCAAGTCCATAAGCTAGTAAAATATAGTATGGATAACTCCCTTCACTATGAGCTTGAGTCTTAGGACCATGGTTAGGGTGCGTATATCGCCTAGGATGGATAACTAGACATAGGTGTTGTTCCCTGGTAGGTCTAGTTACTCATGACCACATTATGTACGATTTGCATGGTATCTCTACTCAGGCTGAAACAGACCTATTGGACTAGTGAGCGTCCTATAGTGTGTAATTATACATATATGGACTACTTTAGTTATTGTTGAGTTATCTAGGATGTATCTGCGTATTGGGTTTCTGTATGGATCGTAGTAGGATATGACTTACATGTGGGCCTGACCCACTCTCTTATTTTTCAGGTGCTCGTCAGTTCCAGAGTTAGAGCTTGATCATGCAGAGCAGATACAGACATTCATTTATCCGACTACGTAAGACTACTTCTTTATTTAGCTTTGGATTTTTTATTACAGTTATTTCCTTTCCAGTTTGGGATTTTATTAGAGGTCCACTTGAGGGATTCCCGAGTTGTTAAGTTAATGCAGTTACTTTGGAGGTTTTGGATTAATGGATTTTAACATTATTATTTTGAGGATTTCTAATTAGAATTCTTTTCAGCTGTAATATCTATTTCTTTAATTCATTTTTGTAATTTGTGTTTGTTTTAAATATTAATTGTTTGATATTCCCTCGGATCTGTGCTCGAACTTGATCACCCGTGGCTCTAGAATCAAGGGGTATCACACTTGACAACCGAGATAACCAATAACCCTGCTCATCCACCGAGCCATGCAATCAACTCACTAAGAGTCAATTACCCGGAATACACTTCTGTAGCTCTCCGAAATGGGAATCACTCCTCAATAAACCAGTTTCTAAGACAGACTTTTATATTCTATGAACTGAATCAAATCAAACGGTCGATCACATAACACTGGCATGACTCCAGTTAATGCCTACGTCACCCTAGGCTTATAGAGTCTAACAAGTCCCCACAACCACCAGAACCAACACGTTTCCTTAGACCATACTAGAATACTCAAAGTATACGTCTACAACCCATAGACTACACCCGTGACTCAAGCAACCTCTGCCACACCCACCTCAAATAGGTTCTAAAAGTACCTCTGCACCAAACCGTGACCCAAGTCACAAACACTAACCCCCTAAGGTAACACCTTTCTCCCACAAAACCTTCAATCATACACCTGACCCCCACGGTCACAAGAACCTATACATCGATGCATGAAACTTACACTCAACACAGCCACCATACCATGAAATACAAACCCATTCTGAAGTCATGCACTAAGCAGCGCACAAATGCAACAAGAAAATTAAAATGATTACACACCAAATAGCTCAATCCACGAGCTAAAAACCAAGCAATTCGTTCGATAAGAACTAGTACCCAAACAACCCTAGAGCAACCAAGCTCATCGCCTACTCAGGTTAAAACTCACATAACCATCAATGCCGTGATTAGTACTCTACCGCACTAGCAACCACCTCAATGCTCAACCACATAAACATATATGAATATAGATATATACATATACAAAATGAATGAAACCCACAATACTACATAAAACATGTTTGCATATACCATGTTCATTACTTGTTATATTAACATTTGATTTAGAACTACACGCACCGTGCTTACCACTTTTCGTCACCATACTCCTCATACACAATTAACATGCTTTCATTTTCTTTCACATTTCATTTACATAGTTAGATCATCTAACTATTCCTTGTACATGGCCATGTAACATAAACTTTTGCATATAAACCTATAAACGTGTAAACACATAGCAAGGGAGCATGTCTTTCAAAACCGTAAGCACATAAACATGTAAACAAGTAACAATTAAGCATGTTTTCCAATTAACAAAACACTTTAGCAACTAGCCTCATAAATAATGCAAATAACTTCCCACACAATCCTAGGTAGGCCTCTACCTAATGGTATTCAAACCATTGCTCTGATACCAAATTTGTAACGACCCGAACTCGGGGGTTCGAATCGCTAAGCGGTCCTTACCCGAACCCGAGGTCAACTAAGAACATTACCATCCTGTTCTATATTAATACATAATATACGTGTCATCCCAGGGTTTATATAATAATAATAATAAAAAAAAAAATAAATAATAAAATGATTTCATAGCTACAAAGTATGTCAAAACAGTCTACTAACCCATCGAACCCTGTGGAGAAGCGTCGTCCGCCACTTTCCGTCCATGTCCTGAAAAATGTTACAATAATGGGGTGAGCATAAGCTCAGTACGAGGTGTCTCAGACACACCTCTTATGATCCCGTGAATCCACATATAAAATAGAAATCAAGAGAATGGGATTATACTATACCGGGAATATAATCTATAACCATAACATCAAATATAACCACAAATATACCATGTATGCTAATGAAGTGCAATGCCATGCTCATGTCGCTTCCCATTTCCGAAACATTTCTGTTTCAACTTCCAAATTATTAGTGCAATCCGACCCAAGGCACCTCCAAGGCGTCACGAAAGGAGGATTGGCCAACTATCCACGACCACAAGGCACCTCCAAGGCATCGCATCCGGCCTAGTTAGCTCAACCATACTCCTCTCCAGACTACACTAACACCATGGACCACTAGGCGCCTCCTAGGCGTCCGGGTTTTCACAAACACATTTCAAAAAAACCTTTCCTCAAAAATTTCATTTGTTTTCAAAAAAACACTTTTCCTTTTTCTTTCCCGATAGATGCATGAATGCTTCATGATTCCAAATGCTAAGTTTAACAACCAAATTTCCATACATTTCACCCATATATCATAACCACATCTTGTAAAGAAAATTTCTAAATATTTATTTCTACAATTATAACATCAAAGTTTTATGGCAATTAGAATTCACAAAATATACAACTTGTCGTTTCTAAGCATGCTTCCTCACTACAAAAAGGTAATT